TCCTCTCCTCTTAGTATAGATGCTCCATTCCCCTCCTCATCCTCGTAGCCCTCCGCTGGACTTTCTCCAGTAGCTCTTCATCTTTCTTGAACTGGGGTGCCCAGCACTGGACACAGCACTGCAGATGGGGCCTCAGCAGGGCAGAGCAGAGAGGGAGGAGAACCTCCCTCGACCTGCTGCCCACACTCCTCTTGATGCACCCCAGAATGGCAGGAGCGTACCTGGTAGGGTTTGCTGTGGTGGGGACATCCCATGGCTGATCAGCTTCACTGCACGCTGCCTGCTCGCAGGGGCTGGCTGTGGCTTTGTGCTAAAAATGCTGCTGTTTTGCGCGTGTCAGCCGAGAAGAGGTGGCTGCCTGCTCTCCCTGTGCTGATCGCAGAGAAACGCCGCTTTTCTTTGATCACAGGTGGGGAAGATCCATCTTCTCGCAGCTGATGTTTACACTTCCCCAAATAACTCGCTTCTTGCTTTGAAGGTGGATCTGGAGATGTCAGGGAAAAGCTTGGAAAAATCCCCTGGCTTTAAAGGTGCTTGGAACAGATGCAGCCCCCCGCCTAGCTTCTACGCAGCAGAAACAGCGAGATGCAGCCCCGTAGCTCAAAAAAAGGGCGACGTAAAAGCGTTGGATCGGGGAGAAAGGCCTCTTTCCAAACGCACGAGACATTGTCTGGCTCCTGAGCAGGCTCTGGCGTGCGCCGTGCTGGGTGCTAGGCAGAGAGAGCAGGCAGTGCATCAGGGAGGCATGGGTCAGGCCTGTAAAATAAGCAGACGGCGAAGCTCAGGGCCGTGCTTTCTTCCTCCAGTCTGAATTATCTCCGTTAAATAGATGGTTTTTACTCTTCTCTCACCTGAGTGCCGGTTCGCTCGTAGCGGTTGACTGGGAAATGTGGGGGCTGGGGGCGTGGGCGATTCTGCCGGTGCTGCTCTCACTTGGAGAAAGCTGTGAGTCTGCTCCCTTCTGGGTGGAGATGCTGGGGTTTGCTTCCCGCTGGAGATGGCCGGGCAGAGGGTGCTGCCTGGGTGTGATGGAGCTGGCGGCGGGGCGGGGGTCTTTAGGCCTGGGGTGTGGGGGCTGTCGGAGGTGAGCTGGGCACCTCTGAATGATCTTTCCGAGTGGTTCCCAGCCGTGGGGAAGGGCTGCTGGCATGTGCTTTGGGCAGGAAGCTGGACAGTCTGTACCAGCTCCAGCTGAAATTAGCCTTGGAGGGGTTAGAAGCTGCTTTGGATCAACTGGGTGCCCCCATGCATATGTTTATGGATGGGCTTTGCGCTCTTTTCCAGCATGTGGATATGGAAAACTCCTATCTCTGCGGATACTTGAAGATTAAAGGCCTTACAGAGGTGAGTGTGAACTGCAAAGCAGCAAGAAAAGGTGCTGTGTAAGGGGTTTTCTTTTTCCTGGTGGGGTGGGAGAAGCTGCCACCAGAAATAGGAAGTGAAGGGACTGAGCATACAGTAAATTTGACCACTAAGTAGTCTCAGAGCTCCAGTCTGTTGTTCTTGGCGTGTCAGACAAACAGGAGGGGCCTTGGTGGGAGTCCTGAACGGGGGCAGCTTGTCTGGCGTCCCTGAAGGTCTGAGCAGAACCGAATCTGACCCTGCCGTCAGCTGTAGGCACTCTGCCAGCGGTGGGGTGTCGCTGAAAGAAAACAATCCAGGACCCCAGCCATCAGATCTTTACGTGCTTCCTTCCCCACCCATCCTCCAAGGTTGGCTCGTGGTGTGGGGCGGTCGGTGACAACTGTCTCCCGGGGGTGACGCTTCGCTCGGCTGCGGCGCACCCTGTGTCTGTCATTACACGGGAGCGCTCGGAGAAGCTCCCTCGCCCCAGCCCAGCCCCCTGTCCCCTGCCTGCCTTCTCCTAATTCGGTGCCAACGTAAAGCTGAAGAGGAGCACCTTCATCCCCAGTGGGGTGGCTGAACCCAGCCCTTGGGCTTTGCAGCAGGGTATCTGCTGGGGAGCGGAGCTGGCTGTGAACGGTCGCTTGCACTCGTCTGGCTGGGAGCTTCCCCGCAGTCCAGCTCTGCCACGGCTCCGTCTGGATCCGTGAAGGGAAGGGAGAGGCTGGAGGAAGAGGGTGGAGGCTGTGCGTGCGTATGAGTCGGACTTCGAGGCGTGGGGCAGGACGAGTCAGCGTGCTGCTTGGAGGGACGCGAGCACCGGCCTCGGGCGGCCCGAGATGCTGCTTTCTGCTGAGCGTGTGCACCTCTGCGTTGGAGCTCCTGTCTCTCGATGACGAATCTTCTGACCTCTCGTTTGTCTCTCTGCCCTCCTAGGAGTACCCAACCCTCACCACTTTCTTTGAAGGGGAAATAATCAGTAAAAAGCACCCTTTCTTAACGCGCAAGTGGGACGCTGATGAAGATGTGGATCGTAAACACTGGGTAAATGAATCTGGGGGAGCAGACGTGGGCCTGGTGCAGTCCTGGCTGGTTTAGAGGTGGGGTGCGGCATGTGCCCATGCAAGAGCTGTCGGAAGGGCCTGGAAACTTCTCCTGTTTGGGTGTCTCCCTGCTTTTCCCGCTGGGATCTCTGCAACGAGAGGTCCCTTCACAGGCTGTGATCCATGAGGAGGGAGGGGGCGTCTTGTTTTACACTTGCTGGGGTTGGAAGGGGGTGGGTGCGATCCCTGTCTCTTGTTTGATCCCTGTCTCTTGGCCCCCCAGGAGAACACTCCCTTTGTTCTGAAGGCTCCTTGCAGAACGGAGTGGAGAAGGGCAGAGATGCTGCTCTGGCCCGGGCAGGGCTGTTGGTACCTGTGTCTCAGCCACCTCGGGCCTCTGCTGGGCGTAGGGTGTGTCTGCCGCTGCGCTGGGGAGCATCGTCAGCAGCCGATTGCCTCCCCGCCTTGACCTTTGCTGCTGTTTGCCAGGCGTTGATGTTTATTATGTTGCTGTCAAAATATCTTCCTCTGGAAGTGCAGGAGCTTCTCCAGGCGGGCTGGATGTGGCTGTGGGTGTCTGGCAATCCTCTGTGCTCCCCCGGGCTAGTCCTGGGGTGTGTGTTTAGCCCCTTTGGTGAGGAGCTCCTGGTCTGTAGCATTTTTTCCCTCCTAAACAGCAGCTGGCACCAGTGAGCTCTACTCCTGGAATAACCATCCTGGTTTTTTTTCCTTTTCCCTTTTGTTTCAGGGAAAGTTCCAGGCTTTTTACCAGTATGCAAAAACATTTAACTCTGATGACTTTGATTATGAGGATCTGAAAAACGGGGACTATGTCTTCATGAGGTGGAAGGTAAACTCTGCATGTCTCCTTCTCTGATGAGCTGCTTACAAGCGACTGACAGAGGCTTGTGGTGCCTGAAAGCTTTTTCAGCTGCCGTGTTTTAATGAAAGATCTCACCCTACCAACCTCGTAACCCACTGTACTTGCAAATTGCAGTGTGACTTCCGTCTAGCCAGCTAATTGCGTCCTTAAGGGCTGCAGTGAAGGCTAAAAACACAACAGGAAAATCTTGCTTGGTGATGCTCCAGAGGATGAGAGAGTTGGGGTGTGGGGCCGGTGAGTTTGATGCAGACCGGCCAGTCTGCACCTCTCTGTTCATCAGCTGGATCGATTCCTTGCTCTTTATGTGAGCCTTGGGCAGCTGCAGCGTGAGGAAATCATGGAATCACAGACTAGTTTGGGCTGGAAGGAACCTGTAAAGGCCATCCTGTCCAACCCCCCTACCGTGAGCAGGGACATCTTCAACCAGATCAGGCTGCTCGGAGCCCCGTCCAACCTGACCTGGAATGTCTGCAGGGATGGGGCATCTCCCACCTCTCTGGGCAACCTGTGCCAGGGTTTCACCACCCTCATTGTAAAAAAACTCTTCCTTATATCTAGTCTAAATCTACCCTTTTTTATTTTAAAACCATTACCCCTTGTCCTATCACTACAGACCATGGTAAACTATCACTACAGACCACGATAAAAAGTCTTTCTCCATCTTTCTTATAAGCCCCCTCTAAATATTGAAAGACTGCAGTAAGGTCTCGTCGGAGCCTTCTCTTCATCATCAGGCGACTCCGATTCCTGATTTTTGCAGTTGGTTTCTGGATTGCAGAGGGCAGGTATTGAACTGAGACTGATCTCATGCACTCTTAAAACTGCTGCTGTTCTCAGTTGTCTGCTTCCCTGTAAGATGCCTGCAGTGGCAGGTGGTGAAAGAACACGCTGCTCTGTGCTCTGGGCTGCTGCGAGCGCAGGGAATGCTCAGCCAGGCATGCCTTTGTGTTAATGGGTGCCAGTATTCAGTTTGGGAGGGCAGATTGGGGTGGGAGGGGTTGTATTTGACCAGCATTGTAAAATATGGTCTGTGTTTTGCGTGCAGGAACAGTTCCTAGTCCCAGATCACACTATCAAAGACATCAGCGGTGCTTCCTTTGCCGGTTTCTATTACATCTGCTTCCAGAAGTCGGCAGCATCTATAGAGGGCTATTACTACCATAGGAGTTCAGAATGGTAAGGAAGCGTCCTTCCTCCTGCCGACTGGAGGGCGGCTCCTCAAGCCGAGCAGTGACTCCTCTTCTCCCTGTCTGCACCCTTGGGAGTGTCCAGGCGGTGCTTTCCTGGGCTGCGGAGCAGGCTCGGGCTGGCGGCTGGATTTTGGGCTGGGAGGGAGGGTGTGTGTGCCGTGCCTGCCCAGAGCAGGCTGGCGCAGCCCGCTGGGGGGGCATACAGTGCTGCCCTTCTTGCATGGCCAGGGATAATGGGGCTGGCAGCGTGGCACAGGGGAGATACGAGGTCTGGAGACGTGCTGTGGCCCGGCAAAGCGCCTGTGAGGGATGCTGGGAGGCAGACACACCAGCTGTGGTTCACTAGAAGCATCCCTCCAGAAGCCTTCTCCCCTGTCCACACGCTCACAGGGCTCACCTCCGCTTGCCCTCCCGTGGGGACAGGCACTTTGCTCTGTGATTCAGGGTTCTCCATGCCTTGGCCCTTCAGAGGATGTCGGAGGGGCCTTCAAGGGGGGGCTCGGTGCATTCTCATGTGTAACAGCTTGGCTGCTGCTCCCTGCAGGCAGAAGTCTTGTTAGGCCAATGCTTGGTAGCCCACGGCCCTTTGGTGTTGCAGTAAGGCACGGGGAGCAGTCGAAGTTAATTGGTTGGTTTCTTGTTAAAGCCGTGTGACAAGCAGCTGCGGAGAGCTCTTTCCCCTCTGACAGCCTTGGATATTTGTCGCACGCAGCAGGTGAATCTGTAGGGTGGCTGGAAGCTCTCAGGGGGAGGGAAGGAACCTGGGAGGCCTTCAGACGAATCCCCTCGAGCTCAGCTTTGAAGGACCTGAGTGTCATTTGCAGTCGTAGCAAACACTGTTTGAACATGAAAGTCTTTGAACTTCAGAAGGTGTCCAAAAACGGCAGTCAGCCCGCCTCGAACGCAGGCTGGCTGCGGGTAGCTCAAAGGCACTGGGGTGGAAATGGGGAACGATGCTGAGTCCTGATGGGGTTCTGGCACCGTGGGTAGGTGGGTGTTGGGTGCCTGAACACCTCTGAGGCTGTAATGGGAAGAGAAGACGGGCCGCCCCCTCGGCGCCCGGCCGGGCGTCAGCCCCTACTGCCAGGGGAGTTCCGTCGCTCTGTGTAATCCTCTCGTCTGTCTCTTCCCTCTCTCACAGGTATCAGTCATTGAATTTAACTCACGTTCCCGAGCACAGCGCTCCTATCTACGAATTCCGATGACAGCTGTTCAGAACTGATACTGCACGGAAGCAAACCGGGCAGGAGAGCATGGCCTGCCAGGAGAACTGTGTCCCTGTCAGAGCACGGGAATGCACGCTTCTCTCCTGCCCCTCGGACTCGCGAGAGAGAGCCTGAATGTTAACCCACCTAGCCCAAGGAGCGTGGCTGCTGGAGCTTGATTCTCCCTCCTGTCGAGTGGCGATTTGGTCTTTAATCTGGTTTTAAGCTACCTTTAAATGCACTTTCTTATCGCACAGCTAGTTTCTCTATCACTGAAATTCCTCCCGGCTCTCCTCTGGAAGCTGTTTCTCAGTAGCTGGAATCAGTGGTTTGTCCTCTGAGTAATAAGAAAATATAAGCTCAGTGCTTATATTTTCGTTGTTACAGCCTGACGTGGGTTGAAATCGCCAGGACTCGGGGTCGTTGCCCGGATTGCCAGCTCTGATGCTCCCGGAGCCGGGCGCCGGGTGTGAGGCTCTGCTCGGCAGCGAGCTGCTGGGCTGCAGAGTCTGTTGGGGGAGTGTTGGCTGAGGCAGAGAAGGCTTGAACGAGTCTTTGCTTCGTGCTGGCTAACGAGGTTAGCCGGAGCTGCAGAGCTTTCCGGAACGCTGGCCCTTTGGAGCTGGGAGCTGTTCCGGTGTCTGGATACGCCACTGGGAATTAATTTGATGTACGGACTTCCAGGCTCTCAGTAAAGTGGATCTGAACTCTGCTTGTAGGTGTATATTTGCTCTTTACTTAAGTTAAGGGTAAAAAAGGAAAGAAAAAAAAAAAAAAAAAAAACTTTTATTAAAAAAAAAAAATATTTTTTGGGT